GGGGGGGGGGCCACATGTTGCAAAGTTTACTATGCTTGTGTAAGTTTCACAAAATACATATAATTGGTCCATAACCAGAACAATGTTGTAATTAAGCTGATGGGTAAACACTTCACTAATCTTGGTTGCCTTGATAACTATGTAGGAAATACTCTCACATACAACTTTTCCAGCAAAAGTACTTCTAGAAATCTGCTATTTGACCTCTATATAAAGCTTCAAACTTCTTGTCAAAGAAGCCAGAAATTTCACAGTATGTCTACAGGCAGTCTATGCTCCCATCTGACTACTATAAAATTCGCCTCTGATGCATACGAAGCTGCACAACCATACAGTAAAAACTTCACCTTATTTCCACTGATTATAAGGAGCAAAACTTGTCCTCGCATAAGAATAGACGAGTTAACTTGCGCGAAAGAACATCCCAAGTGTTCTTCTGGATTTGCATGTGTAAGCTTGCAAAAGGAGATTACCAGGAGCAAATGAGTCGATAAGCATGGAATCAACCTTGTCTTCCCTTTCCCTTCCCCTTTCCATTTCTGTTTCCGTGTCCCTTTTTACCACCTTTATTGAACTTCTTCCCCTTCCTAGTCTTCAAATAAGATGCTCTCTGCGCCTTCTTCTCTCTTTCCTTCCGAACTTGTTCGACATCTTTAATTTCTGATCGCACATGAGCATTAGGTATTGACCTATTGTTTCTCCCACCTCTGAACATTCGGCTACCACCTTGTCCTCTAGGACCACCTGTTCAAACAGAACAGGGTCACAACCATCAACCATGATTTCATTTCATTGAACGTAAGCAGGCAGAACACTATATCAAAACACAAGCCTTCATTTGATTGAAACAAACATATACTCGCAGGATATTTCAAACAAAATAAATTTGCACTTTCATCACCAACGAAACAACATGGAGCAGATAATAGCATGTTCCCAAGGAGGAAATTAACCATAATAAAAAAAAACATCACCACCCACAAATCCAATCAAGGTTAGACTCATTGATAAGAAGCAGAATATGGAGAAATATACTATGAACGCAACTGAGAGGGCAATGTACCAAGAAATATGTAGAATTCACCACTAAACATTACTACTGTTAAAATTCTCTTAGGATAGAGGTTTTCCAAAATAATTACCAGCTAAACTAGTTGATGCTGCAGCAGAGCCACCATCATTAGTTCCGTTAACAGATACTCTCTTGTGTGATTGGTCTTTCCACTTCTTGTATATCCCAGTCTTGTGGGTCTTCATCTTAGAACCACCCTCTGTCTTTATCTGCACACGTCAACAAAAAGACGTAAAAAGCTTTGGAAAGTCTGGAGACCTGATAACCTTAAGAAAGTCCCAGTAAAAGTCAAGTAAAACTCAATGTTATAATGCAATAAAAAGGTCAAGTCAAATAGGAGCACATCTACGGGAAAGAAACTATGATAGCGACCAATTATTCCCTCTATGTTGCTTTTATAAAATCACTATGTTTACGTCCTTATCATAGTCAATGTTGTTTGGTTCAGAAAGGGATTAAGGTTATATAGGGGAATGGACGTATTCCATGTTTTAATGGATAGAATCTAAGGACAGTCTAGTTTACATCAAGGATCTCAATGAATTTCTGAAAAGTGGCAAAAAATAAATTTGACATCCTTACTATTTTGAGAAAGCATGATTTAAAATCATTTCCCCACCTTCAACAGAAGTCAGGATGCAACAAAAAATATCACACACAGTTCAAAGATGAACCCGGCAGGAAACAACCAAAACAGTCTATATCTTTCAAGTTAATCTTTCTTTTTATAACCGTGGTGTCCAGGCCAGCTTGCGCGTATCTCGATTATTCCACCGTATACCCCTACCTTCCACCAGTTGTGCTGGGTAAAAATTCTTTTGAATATCTTTCAAGTTATTCTATCTGGGAAATAACCAAAACAGTCTCAATCTTTCAAGTTATTCTATTGGTTATGTTCTCTAAATACTACATAAAAAGATCTAGCATTAGAAAAGATACATCTAAATCGTTCCCAGGGCTTTGGTCTAGTGGTAAGAGCGCAATGTGTGGGTTAGGTGCATGTCACTGGTTCGAACCACAAAAGCCTAGCATTTAAGTTGAGAAGGCTAGAGAGGCGAGCCCATTATCCACCAAGTTTCGAACCGTGCAACATTGGCTCTCTGGAATTTCTCGGTTATAAAAAAATACAATCTTAATCTCTGACATGTCCAAGAGAAAGAAAAAGCCAAAGAGAGATGCATAAGGCAAAGACCCACTTGACTCCATAGTTCTTTGAGCTACTTAGATTATGATGAAAATTTAATGCAGTTATTATATTTCAGTTAGGTAAGTGTCCAGAATAATATAAGGAGTAAAGGAGGGAAATTTGCATTAAGCTCAAAATAACAAGTTACATTGCATTTTTTTTTTTTTGGTGATTCGCAAATAACAAGCTACATTGTTTAATTTCATTTCCTTAGCAATGGTAGATGTATTCTTTACGAGGCAAATATCTTTTAACCAACCATATACAAAGTTATCAAGGGAAGGGAGTCACATCTTCTCAGTGCTCGCAACATGAAAAGAAGTAGGCTCATTTCAACTCTGCTGCCACACTTCATAAAAAATTAGATAATTTATTCATCAAGTTTGCTGGTCCACAAAAAATAACATGCAAGGACAAAAAAATACCTTCCCACTAGCTGTAACACGATCTCCATTGTTAAGCTTGATGTATTTCTTACTCCTCTGTGTTCAGAACATGCAATCAGCATTCTAGAGAAAATTTACTCACTACATGAAAAAGGCAGCTTTATTCATTAGCTATAAGTACCTTATCCCAATGATATGTAGTCTTTTGTTTATGCAGCCCATTTTTGTCATCAGCTACCAAATCCAGAACAGCAGCATCCAACCTAATGTATGCAAAATACCATGATAATATAATGTAAATTAATGTCAGCGTTGTGGGTTCCAAGTCCAGATGGAGGAGGAGGCTGCAGTAGGTTGACCACCAATCTAAACCTAGTTAATTTAGGATGAATCTTCAATTTTTCACAATACAGAATTTGCCGCATTAGCAGTTTGAAGCTAAAAAACCGCAGTATTAGAATATTTCCCATTTCACTCGACGTCACATACAGAAGCAAAGACGAAAGGTTCATCCACAAAACAGATGAGAAAGCAGAAGAAACTACTTCAAGATGTGTAACATTTAATATCCATCTTCCATGCTAATATGTATAATAGGTCAAAGAATAGTGATGCTTGCCTATTTGATTCAAAACCTCGGTTTCCTCTCACGGAAAGTCCAGCCTCAAAATGCTGCCAGCAGTGGAGGACAAGTTAGATTAGTCATTCCATAAATCCAGATAAAAGAACAACATGAAAAGCGTACAACTCTAGCAGGATGCAAAAATCTGCAGAAGAAGAAGAGCTTAGGATTACTGAATCTCCTAGTTCAGAGCTAATTATTTACCTGATTTGTTGGTACTGAACTTATGAAGTTCTCCTCGTCTTTAAAGCTCTTCGCTTTCCTTTTAGAACCAGAAACTGTCCAAGTCCAAAAGAACAAATCAACAGAAGATCAAATTAAAATGAATATCATACCTGCAAAAGAAACAAATAAGCAACCAACACTGTTTTTCCTCATCTAGGCCTAACAGTCCGTTGTTCCTTTTATTTTCCTTTTGATGCAGTAGACCAACAATGCTTTTTTCTACTTGCTCTCCTGGTGACTTGAACGTCCATACTCATGTAAGGCCCTTTCTACTAGGCTATCCCTCCCTTGACTTTAGACCTCACAATCTTAACTGAGAGTGTCGTGTTCTAGCACCAATCTATGTGACATGTCTCTTATTCTTTAATCCTCACAGAGGAAAACTAAAAACAGCAGTGTCCATATCGATTTCCAATTGATTGCATATCTAACAGATACTGCCAAATCAATACATGTTTAGTTTATCCAACTTAAAAGTGACAATCATCTATATTATTGGAATGTTAAGTATCAATGTTAGAACTAGAATTAAGTTCCTAAGTTATATACTATCTCACATCAGGCAAATATCATGTGTACTGTCACACCATAATAGGTGTGCCCTGTATTCATTGAAATATCAAGTTATCATTGTATCTATAACTCCTCCCTCTAATTTTCTCAAATGGCATCCAAGCATTAAGATCCTGGTATAGATTTAGATACCTGTTTTTTACCATTAAAAACAAGTAGCTTTTGCCTACTCAAAGACAATCTTTGCACTTGTTTGACCTACTTCCATCTGGTCATTAGTTTATTATTTTGTTCTCCGATGACCGTTCTGGCAGCACCAGGCCACAACAACTATGTGCCCCCTTTCCAGTTATCATCCTAGTGGCATTGCACCTCTTCCTAGCGACCATATTGTGGCAGTGCCTTCCAGCCATTTCTCTAGCAATCAGGGTTCTTCAGATTCCAACCACCATATCTTTTTTGGCGAGGTCCAATGATCTAATTCTCCATTGCAATTCCAGTAATCAAAGCTTCTTTGACAATTTCTTCCAACAACTACCCTACTATTTACTTTTCTATGTTCTCAAAATAACAAACTCAAGTTAGTGGGACCTTGCATTTAAGTGGAACATATTAGAATGTTCAGTGTTAATGTCAGATTGCCAAAAGAAAAATATCTGAAGATCTGAACATCTAGACATTGTCCCATACAGAAGAAAAATCATTTGCTCGTGTCTGACACCTATAATTACAAGTAAATCTTGTATGCACCAAATTGTCAAGTCATCAATCTATCTCTCCTTTCTCTTATTTCTCAGACATACTGCCTGATACTTGAAGAAAAAGATCCTAAGTACTATGCAGAAGGGAGGGGATAAGCAAAATATAAACCACAGCATACAATGTGCCTGCATATCCCTGAAACAATATAAAACAATCCGTAAAGCTCTTTTTGTCATTTATGTATTGCTCAAAACAGTACAGTTCAAACTGAAAGTGCTCTCAGCCACGATCTTGCTTTGTTATTTCTTACTTGTTGCAAAGGTAGAGAAGAGTAATTTCAAGACTCCAACAGTATTTAAAAAAAACATATAATACACCAACCTTCTTCTTCTTCATAAAAAATACACCAACCCTCTTCTTTTCTTCTCTATTACGCATGTTTTGCGCTCCCCGACTACTCTTTGGTTCCAAGTGCTTTTTTTCTTCTACTGATAAGGGGTTCCAGGTAACTTTTAGATTACTTGCACAAAGAAACAAATTTAATTCCAGCCTGCATCTTTTAGGTAATCCAGCTGGAGAGAAACAGAAGATATTTTGAGGACAAGCAAGTCCTATCTACAAACTCTGTATCATTTGGCCTTTTTGGTGCAAAATAACAGATGATGTTGAAGTGTGTGACTCTCTCATCTAAAAGCTTAAGCTGTAAGAGATGGCACACTTTTAACTATTTAAAACACATTATGTCTCAACACGCCCTCTCATGTGTGGGCCCGATTCTTTTTTTCATGGGCCAAACATGTGGAATGTTTTCTTCCTCTCTCTCTTTTTTTTTTTTGCTTTGGGTGTCAGTGAGATTTGATCTCAGTACCTATGTCTGTTGTGCTACCAAGTTGAAGTGCGTGGCCATCTCATTTAAAGGCTTAAGCTATTAGAAAGAGCATACTTTTAAATATTTAATTATATTATGTCTCAACAAATGCATATGTGGTCAACTCATACTCCGTTGACCCAATTTATGTGGCATACTTTCCTTTACCGTCTGTCCCAAAAAGAATGTCATACTTCCTTATTTAGAAAATGTTTGAACTTTAAACTTCTTATTTTACCCTCAATTAGATGATTTAAAGCCACACAAATGTCTATGACTTGTTCTAGACCACGATTCAAAAGTCTTTCTTCCCTTCTTAAACTTTGTGCTCAGTCAAACACCTGCACATAAATTGGGATGGAGGGAGTACTTGATTTCCTCGGCTTCCTAGATGTTAAAGGAGGGGTGTAAGTTTTTGATGCGTACATATTTGCACCTTCTTGGTGCCACTTGAATAAAATGAACTCTCTTTTCTTATCCACCAAAAAAGAAAAAGATCCACCGACAGTTAGAAATTGTATTTTTCATATCCTCTCACGAACAAAAGCAGCAACAGAAAAACCTAGACATTAACCCCGAGATTCATGTCTCAGAAACACTGCAGACAAATTTTAAAGTAAACCTTCATAATTACAAAATGGTACAAGTGGTCCAATGAGAAAGTCTTATATGTCATAGTTATAACAAGCATAACGCACAAAAGAAAGAACTACTATTGTTGACAGCACCCATTAAATCTAAGGAGGCAGCTACACATTTACAAGTGTCTCAAGTGCTTGCCAAGGACCTCAACATAAATATTCTTTTGAAGTCTCAACTCTCAAAAGAAGTCGACAACCAAACGTTGTACTTTGGATAACACTCAAGATCTTATTATCAGAATCCAGAATATGAAAATATCAAGGAGGTGATACACTAAGCACATAAATAGTTTTATCTTTCTTCATTTAAATGATGCTCATTATCTTTTTAAGTACACTCCATTTGATGAACGGATGTCACATGTTCAAAATCAAACTACAACAGGGCTCAAGTCTACCCAACTTCCCATTCCAATATGATACTACATCTTGTATCAGTATATCTGAACATATGATTTAACAAGTACTGCGGGCTTGTTTGGAAAGCTACCTTGGAAATGGATTTTGGTGTAATAACGCAGTTTTGGAGTGTTTGTCTCGCGAAATAATTGCTTGGTCAACAAGGAATTGAATGTAACTGAGGGGAAGCAACTGCACTCTACGATTCTCAAGTGGGAGGTCAGAATTGCAAGGTGACAACTCAAATCCTCTTTTATTTTAATTTTCAGTATATTACTCTCTCTATTCCAATTTATGTGATATCCTTTCCTTTTTAGTCTGTCCCAAAAATAATGATACATTTCTACACTTAAAAACAACTTAACTCCATATTTCCAATAACATACCCAGTATATCTCCACATGTGGGATCTGGGGAGGATAGTGTATACGCAGACCATACCCCTACCATGTACAAATAGAGAGGTCATTTCCAAGAGACCCTCGGCTCAGGCAAGCACAAGTTTAATGAGATGATTTAAAGCCACAAAAATGTCTATGGCTTTTTTATATCACAAGTTTCAAAGCTTTACCTTCTTAACCTCTATGCCTAGTCAAACACCCTCACATAAATTGAGACGGAGGAAGTATTCCTTCATCACCCTTTCTCTTCCATTTCTTTTTTTTTCTTCAAACAGATATAGAATGCTTGTTAGAGCAAATAGATTAGAATTTCATACAAATTTTTGTTATGAGAATATTTTATGGGGAACACAACATTTTTTCTATCTTTTTGTTATTTAATAAAACGCAACAAATCATGAATTTCATATTATTTATATGAGTTGGTAAAAGTTTTAAATTCGCAGTTGGTAATATATTTTCAAAGAAATATATTTATTCATAATACATAGTAAACAATAATATTTAATATTTCTATACACAAATATTTGTCACATATTAAAGTTTATATTTCTATTCTTATTTTTTTATTTTAAACAAACATATTAAGAGTTTATTTACTTGTATATTTGAAATAAGTTTTATTTAGATTTTGATAATTTTTATATGAAAACTAAAAATATTTAACTATGTAACTACACTTGTACAATCAAACATGATACTTGGAATTACACTGTACTTATATTATGACAAAGAAGCACGCCCTTGTAATTACTACATCGTGTAATTACTACGCAGCCTCGTAATTAGACGGTGGTTTCCAAACACGCGCTACATATTCCTGAAAGAGGTAAACCTGGAAAGAACCACAAAATGAAGAGTGAATGAGGACAAACCTTGTTTCTCCTTCCGTTCTGAAGGTGTGGGATCAAAGCCATCTTCCTGGAGTTAAACAGGTAAAAAAAATCAAAATGAAGTCATTTAATCAACAATTGCAAATCATAAGACCAAATCATATTCTGAAAGAAGGATTCTTATGACAACATCATATCAAGTAGCTAGAAGGGGACCTTGCCACAACAAATAGCTGAAGGGAAAATTCCAACAACTAACAAGTGGGAGCTGCGACATGTCTCGTCTCCCAAATCTAAACATGCTAGTTCAGGTCAAGCAAAAAATCACTGTCATATGGCACAAGTCTTCTATTGAGGATACTTTTCAACATGTCATCAATTTTGTAGCCTAAACATCAGTATTTACCTCTTACTCATGTTGACTTTCAGTCAGCATGCAATTTTCCCAACCATTTGGTCCATGTCTAACACATCCGCATATTCAGTTCTTATCAAAGATCTTATTTGAAAACCAAAAATTTATTCAATAAAAAAGAAAAACCATAGTACCCTCCAGGATGGTTTTACTCGCCTGAAAGGTATCTTGTCAAATTTAATGGACAAAAAGACCAGCAAGGACTCCCACATCTCCAGCTCATTTCGAACTTCATACCAAAGAAAAGTAGCATAAAATGAAGCCATACACCCATGAGGAAAAGAATAAGAGACTACAGATATTAAAAACCTTTTTATACACCAACTATTTGACAAGTAGTACCCAAGTGTTCTTCACCAGGTTGAGGTTTAACTGGAAATGACACGTCTATTGCCTATCTCTACGTTCCAGCACCTTACTCCATAAGGAAGGAATTTCAAGGGAGTATCTAGGTGCTAAAATCAATAATTTCAAAAATAACCAGCATCTGAACATATCACATGACATATACACATAATATTCTGTCCTTTTCAGATTTCCTATTTGCATTTTGAAAGCAACTAGAGGGCACACTCCTAGAACATCTAAACAAAAGATGATACATATAAAAGAGCTTCACCTCTGGTGCAGGAACACTGGAGCGCTGTTGACGAACTTTATTGATGACCTCCTCATGAATAGCTCTTTTCCTCTTCATCACATCGACCCATTGACTCTGCATGGATTGTCCAAATTATTTGTTTAGAATCACCTCCGCGACATACAGGGGGATGGGGAAAAACACGTGCAAGTTGACCCAAAATGTCAGCATCTCTTAAGCTTAAAAGGCATGATGATAAATATACACTTAACCAGAATATATCACTGTCGGGACTGAATATGCCCCAAAATTGAGCTTTTAACTCATTTCTACATAATGCACCTCAAAGTAACAAGAGCACACAATCTTTTAAGAAGTTCTGTTGTAGGGATGAAGAACATAAAAGAGGAAAATCAGTGGCTAGATCAGGTTGCTGATATGTTCAAATGTCTAAGGGAGACCTAGCTATGAATTGTCCCCAACAGAACTCTTGCTCAGTACAGCACAGATGACTCACTAATCCCCAGCAAATTCACACATTCCATTCCGCTATCCATAGACAATAGCAACTTGGAACACTACAATTAGCTATCCAAATTAGTATCCTTCCCTTTTAACAATTTGCAAGAGCCTTTTTGTCTAAATCCAATTCAAGAATAGATATGATTCAAATAATCTTTTCTTAGTAGTTCCATTATTGTAAGTCTTTCAGATTCTCTTAATTTTAAAACATAGTATTATTTTTTAGTTAAGGTTGCTTAAAGTAACAGGCATATGATCTAAGTAAATCTATCCGTAGAATTGAACTTCAGGTTCAGTAGAATTGCAAACTCCCGTTCCACAAACAGAAGCAATAAATGTAGGTAACATTGCTTCAACCTCCTACTTCACCCCAAAAAAAGGTATATTGCATCTGGGAGGTGGAGGTGGTAAAGGACCTGGTGCTGAATCGCAAGTTGTCCCCATGAAGGGAGAAGGTGGAGGGGGAAACCATGGGGGATCAAGGAAGAAGGAAAAGAGAGACCTGATGCTGAATAACAAGTTATCCGCAGAATCGCCGTTTTCCCTCCTCTTTCGAGTATCTTGAAAGCAAAAGCTAAAAATGTAAAAGTATATAGTTTCCTAATGATTAAACAAACAAATATTATATATCATCAGTTACAGCACCCCATAGCCATCACCTTATATGAAGTGAAAGACGATACGAGCTGTAGAAAAATAAAGTAACACAAGTTGAATTCAAAAGAAACCATATAAAATAACAGGATTTTGAATTTTTCCATGTTCTAGTTGACGAAATAGAAGACATAAAGATGAAAAGTTTACATGGTTTTTTGACTTGGCAGCTTCACCTTCAGCTTCCAGGATTGTTTGCTTAGGTCTACAAAAAAAATTATATATATAATGTTAAAGAACAGAAATAATATAATTTCCACCATGACGATAAAAAACAAAATTATGGAAGGACTCGTAGAGTAACCTGAAGGCCTTCAAGCGTTCAGAAAAAGCCATTGCTGATAATTCAGTACCACCGAGGTCATTTTTGAACAGTGGATGCAACCCTTCACGTGGTAGGTCTTTTACTCTTCTAACGGACTCTTTTGAAGGCTTTGGTTTTGTCTTTGAATACAAGCCAAATGCTTTCATACAGGGCCTTTGCAGAGTTTCTAGTTCAGTTGATGAATCAATGATTTCCCGAACTCTATCAGAGAGGAGATCTAGAACAGTTTGAGGAAAACGTCCATAGACAGTTCCTCCATTGGCAACCGCTTGATCTATTTTGGACCGGACTCCATCCATATCTTGTAAAACCTCTTCCTCGGTTGGCGCAGCCCTGATTGGTTTAGACAGAAAGAGATGAAGATCTAACAAATAAGGCATGTCTTCAGATGTGAGAAGAGAATAAGCAGTGCCAATACGACCCGCCCTTGCAGCACGCCCAACTCGATGCACAAAAAGTTTAGGTTTTGGAGGAAAATCAAAGTTGATAACATTATCAAGCAGTGGAATATCAATTCCTCTAGCAGCCACATCGGTCACAATGAGCACCATTGTCTTTCTTGCTCTAAATCTAGAAACATGAATTTTGCGAGCATCGTGATCCATATCACCATAACAAACAGAAGGTTCAATACCCTCTTCTCTTAAAAGTATGTTAAGGAACTCAACATGATACTTGGTGGAAACAAAAACTAAAGTCTGCTGATCAGAACTTATTTGTTCACGAATCAGATACAGAAGTGCAGCATGCTTTTCCTCATGTCTCACAGTGAAAAACGCAAGCTTCAAGTCTGGACTTATCTTAGTGTCCAAATCAAGACGCACAAGCTGAGGATCTCGCAGCCCAGCCTTGGCAAATTCAGCAAGGGCACTCGGTAAAGTTGCACTGAAAAGCAGAGTCTGGCGATTCTCACCTAGATGGGTGAGAATACTATGCAATTGCTCAGCAAATCCCATGCTAAATAAACAATCAGCCTCGTCAAAAACCACATACTCCACAGTGCGCAGTGACATATCATCAACCTCAGATAAATGGTGCATTAGCCGACCAGGAGTTGCAATTATAATATCAGGACTTTGTGCCAATTCTTCAAATTGGCTTTCCATACTATCACCACCAACCAATAAACTAACACGAATATCTGCATCAAGGAGAAAAGTGCAACTTTTAACCAGTTGAGGCTACAGGTAAGATCTCCTAAAAACTCCTAGCACTAGGGGGAAAAGAGATATAAAACAATCAGTCCTAAAAGGTCTTGTAGAGTAGCCTTACTTCAATTGAATCAATATGACCAAAATTGTTAGGTCAGCATACGGTAATTTGAGAGAAGGCCATAATTTAGCTCCAGAAACCAACCCCCCCCCCCCCCCAAACCCAAAAAAAGGAAAAAAACCAAATCAATAATGATTAATTGCTTATGCTTATCTACCTTATAACTGGTGTCAAATTAAACTACTAATCAGATAACCACCTCCATAGAAGAGGTGAAAACAGGTTTGGTCATATAATACGCATGTAATTGTTCTTCAATTCTATCTAATACTCAATCAAATCCTAACCACATTTTTTACAAACAGAAGGTTCGATACCCTCTTCTCTTAAATTGTTTTATCACAATTTTTGCCCTGCATCTACCCAAACACGTAGAATATTCTTCTCCCTTTTCCCAATGTCATAAATTGAAAAAGGGAAGAAATGTTGAAATTTCTAGAATTTCACCTTCCCATATCGTTCTATTCACAAACTTAACTCTTGAACTAAAATTTCACAAATTCAGAGCCCATTTAGATTGGAATTTGAAAATGATATTAATTATTTAAAGAAGTAATTACTTCCTCAATTATTGTACTTCCTTTTTCGTCTGTTCCAAAAGAGCGGCCTCTTTCTAAATTTGGAAATAATGTAACTAAACTTCCCATATTAACAAATGTTATGGTATGTTTAAAACAACAAATTTCAAAAGCCTTATAACAACACAAATGTTATGGCATGTTTAAGATCCCAAGTCTCAAAAGTGTCCCCTTTTTTTTCTTAAACTCCGTGCCCAGTCAAGTAGGTTCCCATAAATTGAAAAGGAAGGAGTATTATAACTTAAACGAATTCACACGTGATAATCCAACCTGTAAATTACCATGAAAGAAGTTGACTAAGTAAAACAGTGATCTAAGCCATATACATTGACAATGTAAAAGAACCTTTAAACTATCAGTACATTATAACCTGCAATAGAAAACCAGCTACCATTGTTATCATATTACCAATTAATACTCATTAACAGATGTACCTGAAATTATCTAATACGTGACCTAATTGTGTAAAAAAATTACACTGGCAGAGCTTAAACTCATAAAACAAGTAAATTCTTATTTTGGTCGTTGTGATATATAACTCATCACATTTAACCTTCAATTAATTCAAACTGTGTTTTTGTTCCCTTTATGTAGGAAATATATTATATTTGGACTATTTTTTAAACTAAGTTATTCTAAATTATGAATTAACAGTTCAATTCTAATATAACACATGAGTAATAAAGTGGTGGAATGGTTAATAATTCAGGTAAATTTGTGAATATTCACAAACAAAAGAATCAAAAGTGCACATTTTGAGTAACTGAAGGTTAAATGTGCTTAGTCAGATATTTGCAGGGATTAAAAGGGACCAAAAGTGCTATTAACTCAATCGAAAAACCCAAGACGAGAGAAAAAGCAAAACACCTGTGAATCGACCAAGCTCTTTTGTAAATTTAAGTGTTTGAAGTGCCAAATCTCTAGTAGGAGATAAAATAAGGGCTCTAACACCAGCTTGAGGCACATGTTGCTTCAATTTCTCAAGCATAGGAAGGAGAAACGCCGCCGTTTTACCAGAACCAGTACGGGCCATAGCGACAACGTCGATACCGGAGAGTATGAGCGGCATTGTTTTGCGCTGAATAGGCGTCGGAACTCTGTAACCTTTCCGTTTGATTCCTCGGAATACATTGGAACTTAACCCTAATGACTCAAACCCTGCTGATTTTGCCTTCTTTTTCTCCTTCTCTCTCCGCTTTAGCTCCGCTTTGGAGCTTACTAGAATCGCCATTGGAGTGGTAGAAAGGAGGAAATTTTTTGGTGGCCGACTGGCGAAGGAGAAGAATGAAGAAAAGGGTTTTGGGTTTTGTGATTTTCCGATTTTCTCTTTTTCCTTTCTCTTTTACCAGTAGTCGTACGCGCATCCGTATTAAACAATATTAGTTAAATTAAATCCTAATCGGGCTTGTTTGAACATATTAAATCATATTAATTTAATAAATTTAAATTATCATCTTATTTGTCGATACGATATACCCAATAATAAAATCTCTATTAAACTAAAAAGACTTATATAGTTATTGAAGAACTTTTTTGTTTTATATTTTTCTTTATTACATTTTCCAATGTTTAGTAATTATACATTGTTAATAAAAATATTTATTAGCATATTACTTTGTTTAATATTTTTGTCTGATCGTTTTTTTTTTTTTTTTGTAATATGAGAGAAGATATATATTTTATTAATCTTAAAAAAATTAATTTAAATTTTATTCTGTTGTTCTCGATAATATTATCTGAATTTTGATGAATAAAATATCTATTAAATTAAAGGGACTTATATAGTTATAGAATAATTTTTTTGTTATGTATTTTTCTTTATTTATATTATCCAATATTTAGTATAATTGCATTGTTAATAGAAAGTTTTTATTAGCATATTAGTTTGTTTAAATATTTTTGTCTACTGCTTTCTTTATATATATATATATATTATATATATATATATATATATATATATATATATATATATATAGTTAAATTGACATATGAATTATTAAATAAAAATCAATTTAGTATAATAACTACTCCCATATATATACACACACTACTACAACTATATTAGGAAGAAATTACTCCTCCAAATTTTAAATTGGTAGTTTTTTATTTTTTTTGTTATTTTGTTTTTTATTGTAAAAATAATTTTAAAAACTCCAATTTGAATGAGTAAGAATATTGAACATATTAGATCGTATTACTTTAATATAATTTAAATATCATCTTATTTGTCAATAAGATATACCCAATACTAAAATCTCTATTAAACTAAAAAGACTTATATAGCTATTGAAGAACTTTTTTGTTTTATTTTTTTCTTTATTATATTATCCAATGTTTAGTAATTATACATTGTTAATAAAAATATTTATCAGCATATTACTTTGTTTAATATTTTTGTCTGATCGTTTTTTTTTTTCGTAATATGAGAGAAGATATATATTTTATTAATCTTAAAAAAATTAATTAAATTTTATTTTGCTGTTCTCGATAATATTATCTGAATTTTGATGAATAAAATATCTATTAAATTAAAGGGACTTATATAGTCATCGAATAATTTTTTGTTATGTATTTTTCTTTATTATATTATCCATATTTAGTATAATTGCATTGTTAATAGAAGTTTTTTATAGATATTAGTTTGTTTAATATTTTTGTTACTACTTTCTTTATATAATATATATAATATATATATATATATATATATATATTATATATATATATGTTAAATTGACATATGAATTATTAATAAAACCAATTTAGTATAATAACTACTCCCATATATATACACACACACTACTACAACTATATTAGGAAGAAATTACTCTCCAATTTAAATTGGTTTTTTATTTTTATTTTTTTTTTTTTGTTTTTTATTGTAAAATCATTTTAAACTCCAATTTGAATGAGTAAGAACATATTTTTTCTGTATTTTTCGTTTTTTATTGATAATTAAGATATCTATATTTATTAATTCAAGTAGTGTAACCAATTAATTCAAAATTTAAAATTCAATAAAAAGTTAGTTAGAAAAGTAGTTTATTTTGTCTTAAAAATGCCACTTGGCTTTTTGTGGTTAAGACACTTGTCTTAATGTAGTGGTTTTGTTTCTCCTATTCTATATAGATAGATTGTATTTTATTTTTAATATTCGTTTTTTCAGCTTTAGTGTGGCGAAATTTCGCATTAACCCAATAATGGGTGACCCAATAACACCAAGTAGCCACTCTAAAGGACTGCTATTTAAGTAATTCTTATTTTTCAGTTCACATTTTTATCCAGACAAAAATATCCTGAATTATCCTGAAGCAAAAAATTTTAATTTAGAATTGCAGGATAAAATAAGTACTAATTAATCTCTAAATAGCATCCCGAGGTATTTATTTATGCACTTGTCCTGATTTTGAGTGGCTGAGCCAAACTTTTAGCAAAAATTGAGATAGCAATAGAGTGGGTTGTCCCTTTTTAAATTTTGCAATTGGAAGATAGTTATTATCATTAATTTGTATAGGTAAAACTTTAGCATATTTTAAGATGCTGTGATAGTGATAATTATTTTATTACATGAGCTAAAAAGTGGCTATTTATAAATTTTATTCAAATTTGAGACAGCACTAATAAAAATGGGATAAAATTCGAAAATAGTCACTTTTTAGCTCCTTTAATTAAAAAATAAAGATTATCATGGAGTTCCAAATTTCAGAGATAAAATTTAAGCACCTATAAAATTTGAAATTCCATGACAATGGTTATAGTTTTACTTGTGAAATTTAAAATTCTGTGACAATGGCTATTTTATAATAATATGGGCTGAGAAAGTGGCTAGCCTGGTGCTATTACTACCGTTAAGTGACTTGGTATGTCAATTTTACCCCATGAAACTCGTTCAATCTGTCTAAATTTGGATGAGTTAAGCTGGTCATATATTTATTTGCTGGCCAGTTTGATCGCAGTCCAAGTTAACCCATCTAAAAGCTTGGGACAATTTAGAGCAATATATATAGTCCAAATTAACTCATAAGAAATGAGAACATCGAAAATAAACATTTTGGGTTGATTAGTTAGATGTAGGGTGTATTTGGTTCCGGAAAATATTTTCTAATTTTTCCATATTTGGTTGGCTTAAATATTGTGGAAAATATTTTCCTCATGAATTTTTTTCCTTTAATTGGAGGAAAATGTTTTCCCTATCAAAAATAGGAAAATATTTTTCAAAACTCTTTTTCAACATTCTCCACCATATTCCCCATCCCCACCAACCCCTAGCCACGTCCGTCCATCCCAACCCCCAAACCACCCCTACTCCACCCACCTCAACCTCGCCCCCCAACCACCCTAATAGAAATATTATTAAGACTATGTTATTTTCATATTGTAAATAGAGTACTTTATTTTATTTCAACGAAATGAGTATATTTTCATGATATAGAAAAAGTATTTTCTTTTATTTCAACAAAACAGGTCCTTTTTTCATGATGTAAAAAAAGTATTTTCTTTAACAAAACGAGTATTTTCTTTTCATGATGTAGAAAAAAGTATTTTCTTTCATTTCAACAAACTGACTATTTTCTTTTCCTAAAATAGAAAAAGTATATTTTTTCAACAAATTGGGTACTTTCTTTTCACGATGTAGAAAAGTATTTTCTTTCTTTTCAACAAAATGAGTCCTTTCTTTCATGATGTCAAAAAAGTATTTTCTTTCATTCAACAAAAAAGTATTTTCTTTCATTCATCAAAATGAGTAATTTCTTTTCCTATTGTAGAAGATAATTTATTTTTCAACAAAAAAAGTATTTTCTTTTTAGTTATTGAGCTCCAAATTCAACGTTGTTCTTGTGTGAAAAGGTAAAGTAGCACATTAGCTCCTTTGGGTTAGTGTGAATTTTGAAAAGAATAATTAAATTCTTGAAGAAAATAGAGTCCCGAAGGGGGAAGGGAGAGGGGGAGGGGGGAAGGGGAGTACAAGAAACATGAGAATTTTGGGGAAGGTGGGTTGAGGAGAGTAACATAAAAAATTATTTTCCTAAAAATATTTTTCGAAAAAAGTTTTTCACTCACCAACCAAACAAGGAAAAATAAGTGATAAAACCACTCATTTTCCATGAAAACATTTTCCATGGAAAACATTTTCCTTCTTACCAAACATACCCATAGCCATAATTGATTTCGTAACTAAATAAATTATAAAATAACAAATAAATAAATAAAAATAAAATTTGAGTAGGACCAATAATCCTTTGACCTATTGTTTAGCCCATATTGATCCTCTTGTCTCGTTGTGCCTCCCTCCATTTGATGCAATCAAATTTTGGGCAGAGAACGATTCAACCTATTTATAAAAAATGAACACTCAAATAAAATATTTACGTCAAATTGCCTTAATAATTTCTTATTTTCACTAAAATCATGCAAGTAAAGTATTCAAGTCAAATCATCCACATAAAAAAATATTTGCTTATAAGCACTTGGTTTACTAACTGCTCATGCGACCATTACGAGGAAATTCCCAGCAATAGAGGCGTTAATAGGGCATTGGGCTTAGTATTAGGCATTTGGGTTAATGCAAGCGGGTTCCCCAAGGTTTGGAATTATGCCCGTAAGTATATCTTTTTTTTTAGTGTTGGTTTTGCTAGTTTCAGTTGTGTTGACATTTCGTTCTCTCTTTGTGTAGCTGAGATTGCACCTCCTCCTTTGGTCGAGGATATCCACAACTAGGTTAGCCAGGTTCTACCTCATACGGTGGGGATCCACGAGTGGCCGGCCTTTCTCGAGAAATTCGGGCCGACGTCTTCCGCGATCGGTGAGTTTGTCTGTTTTTCCTTGAAATTGTTTTGGCTTTTTGGCCGCTTTCTTGTTACAGCATTATGGGGAGTACATTTTTTAACTTTACTTTTTCAGCTCGAGGACCTTCAAGAAAGACGAGGGCTCCTCCTCTTTCCTTTCGTAAGAGTAAAACTACCTCTTCGGAGTCCGCTTCTGTTACGACTGCGGCCAGGCCTGCCCAGTCGTCTGCTTCCGTTCCTCCTTCTGCTATGACCAGGTCGACTCGGTCATCGACTGCATCAGCAATAGAACTTCCGACTTACTGATCTCGTCCAAGTCACATCTCTATTTGAGGTTATGAAACAGTCGATTGTAATAATAATACCAACAAGGAGCTGAGATCGAATCCACAGGGAGCTGAGATGGGAATTAGTAGTATATATTTGGATTGAGCACGTGAAGTATCTAGATTGCACTTCCACAAATATGGTTTTGTTTTTACTTCTAAAATTATGCTAAGGATTGCAATTCTAAAGATATAAAACTAGAGAATATTGTTTT